GGACATAGTTCATAGGTAGCGTAGTTGCCAAGCATGTGTGAGGCTAAAGATTTGACCCATGAAGCTTAAGAAAACAACAAAGATCTTCCATTCAGTCTCACATTTTGTGCTGAAGATTTTCGGGCCGGCAAGATGACTCAAAATGGGTAAAGGTGCTTGCTGCCAGCCAGCTCTATCTTGAGTTGGAGTCCTGGAACCTACATGGTAGAAGGAAGAAACTGAATCCTACAAATTGTACACACAAAATCTAGCCACCTGGGCTTTAGAGTTAAAAGAGGCAGGCAGAGCTCTTTGAGTTTGAGGCCAGCCTGGTCTATGGAGTGAGTTCCAGGACAGCCAGGGCTGTTACACAGAGAAACCCTGTCTCAGAAAAAATAAAACAATTAATAACTAAAGAAAAAAAGTAAACATTTTATATTAGGAGAAGAACCAAAATTAGGTAAACAATTTTTTGTTGTTGTTGTTTTATCTGTAGTTAATGAGGATTGAACCCAGGGCTTATCTGTTGTTGTTTTATCTGTAGTTAACGAGGATTGGACTGGGCAAGTGTTCTACCATGGCAGTACAGCCTCAGTACTGGTTTTTGTTTTGTTCAAATCTCTTTTCTTTTGTAATCCTCATTTCTTTCTTGTTTCACCAAAAGCCCCAACTACAGGATGCCATTTTCAGAGCATAAGAAACAATGTGGTTTTAGAATAGAGGGAATGTGCCATCAATACTTTAAAAGTTGTGCAGGGCTGATGGTGGACAGTGTGCTTAGTGTTCATGAGGCCCTAGGTTCACTTCCCTGCACACAAAATAATTGTAGAGCAATTCTCCTGCCTCAGCCCTTGCATATTCAGATTACAAACAAGTACCTTCATACCCATTTCATACAGTTTTGTTTTTAACGTAGGACTGGGCCAGAGAGATGACCAAGTGATTAAAAGCCTTCCACAAAAAGATGAGGACCTGAGTTCAGATCTCCAGAATCCACATAAATGCTGAGTGGTAGTCACCTGTAATTCCATCCTTGGAAGGTTAGAGACAGGCTCCCTAGGGCAAAGTGACTAGCAAGACAAGCCCAATCCGCCATCCTTGGGTTTCATTGAGAAACCCTGCCTTACTGAATGAGGTAAAAGGGTGAAAAGTCCTGACGTAACTGAAGGCTTTCACATGCATGCTTACGCACACATGCATACCCTCACACCTGGAAATAGGCTTGCACACACACACACACACCTGCAGACAAGCAGACACATGTGCACCAAACACAAACACATGAAAAGAAAAATAAAAACTACACGTAGGAATGGGAAACTTGCTTTAAGAACAGTCAGATAGTGGTGGTGCACGCCTTTAATCCCAGCACTGGGGAGACAGGCAGGAAGATCTCTGAGCTCGAGGCCAGTCTGCAGTCTGGTCTACAATGAGAGTTCCAGAACAGTCTCCAAAGCTACAGAGAAACCCTGTCTCAAAAAACCCTTTACATAAAAGCAGGATTCTGATGTAAGTCTAAGTCTGTACAGCATTTTGTCTATTTCTGAGATTTCCACCTTGTCTATTTTCTGGTGGCAACACTGTAAGATATCTATCCTACATCTGTCATGTAGGGTCAGTTCTCAAATGTAGATTCGAGCTCTATCATTTATAAGCTACTATGGTTATTTTAGATTTTTTTTGTTGTTATTTTTGTTTTTCAAGACAGGGTTTCTCTGTGGCTTTGGAGGCTGTTCTGGAACTAGCTCTTGTAGACCAGGCTGGTCTCGAACTCACAGAGAGCCTCCTGCTTCTGCCTCCCGAGTGCTGGAATTAAAGGCATGCACCATCACCACCCAGATATTTTAGATGTTTTTTTCCATTGTTGTAACAAAATAACCAAGAAACAACTAAAGAGGGAAATTTTGTTTTGATTTTGCTTCCAGTCCATTGTATCTGGGAAAATGTAGTGGGCAGTGCTGCTCCTTCTCACTGCCAGGAAGCTGATAGCAACTTCTTCACTCCTTCCCTTTATTGATTCCTCTCTGGCCCACAGACATTGGGTGGTGTCATCCACATTCAAGGGAGGTTCCCCTCCACACATACACCTTAGCCAGTGCTCTGGAAGTGCCCTCACACAAGTGTGTTTTAGAAATCTAAATACTTCTCAATCTAACCAAGTTGACAATATTAACACTCTAGGGTGTGGAGAAATAGCTCAGTTGGTAGAGTGATTAATGAGCCTCTACAAGGCTCTGGGTTCTATCCTTAGCACTGAGTAAGCTTCAACCAGGCATGGTATCATCGTGCTGTGTATCTTAGGTTTCTATTGCTGTGAAGAGACACCATGACCACAGCAACTCTTATAAAGAAAACATTTAATTGGGTGGCTCACTTACAATTTCAGAGGTTCAGTCCATTATCATGATGGAGAACATGGTGGTGTGCAGGCAGATGTGCTGGCTACATCTTGGTTTTCAGGGAACAGGAAGTTGACTGAAACACTGGGCAGTATCCTGAGCATAGGAAACCTCAAAGCCTGCCTCCACAGTGACAGTCTTCCTCCAACAAGGCCATACCCACTCCAACAAAACCTTACCTCCTAATAGTGCCAGTCCCTATGAGATTATGGGGGCCAATTACATTTAAACTACCACAGCCTGTAATCTGAGCTCTTCAGAGGTGGCTGCAGGAAGATCAGAAGTTCAAGGTCCAGCTAGAGAGATGGCCCAGAAGTTAAGAGCACTGGCTGCTCCTCCAGAGAACCCAGGTTTGATTTTCAGCACCCTATGGTGACTCACAACCATCTATGACTCTGATCTCAGGAATCCAGTACCCTTTTTGGACCTCCATGGGCAGTAGGCATAGACAATGCCTACAGACATTGTGATGCTCTGAATAAGGACTGGGCCCCATAGGCTCACATATTTGAATGCTTGGTCATTATGGAGTGGACCTAGTAGGAGGTATGATCTTGTTGGAGGAAGTGTATCACTGGGGGTAGGCTTTGAGGTTTCAAATGCTCAAGCCAGGCACAGTATGTTTCTCTCTTCCTGCTGCCTTCATATCCAGATATAGAACTCTACTCTCGGATCCTTCTCCAGCACCATGTCTGCCTGCATGCCACTATTCTTCCTGCCATGATGATAATGGACTAAACCTCTAAACCTGTGATGTAGCTGGTTTTCCTCTTTCTTTGCTCTTTAGGGGCTCACCACTCAGCTCCCAAATAAATACACAGAGACTTGTTCTTACTTATAACAAGCCTTAGTTTGGCTGGATTTTTGCCAGCTTTTCTTAGCTTAAGTTATTCTTTTGCTTCTGGGCACTTACCTTTTTCTATTTCTGTATACCTGTTTGTTGTTGTTGTTCCTCATTCTGTGGCTGGCCCCTGGCATCCTCCTCTCCTCCTTTTTCCCCCTCACTCCTCCTCTCACTTTCTTCTTCTATTTATTCTCTCTTCCTGCCAGCCCTGCCTGTTTTTCTCTCCTGTCTAGCTATTGTCTGTTCAGCTCTCAATAGACCAATCAGGTGTTGTAGACAGGCAAAGTAACAAAGTTTCTCAGAGTTATACAAATGCAGCATAAAATAATTCAACAGGCTGGGCAGTGGTGACTCATACCTTTAAACCCAGCACTTGGGAGGCAGAGGCAGGCACATCTCTGAGTTCAAGGCCTGCCTGGTCTACATACTGAGTTCCAGGACAGTCAGGGCTACACAGAGAAGCCAGGTCTTGAAAGGAAGGAAAAAAAGAAAAGAAAAGAAAGAAAAGCAAACTAAATCATTCTGGGACTGGAGAGATGCTGTTGTTCCAGAGGACCCAGGTTCAATTCCCAGCACCCACATGACTGCGTACAACTGTTCTATAACTCCAATTCTAGGAACTAATGTGTATCACCACTGCCCAATTCCCAGAATTATTTCTTTTTTAAAAAAATAATCTTCTTGACTTCATTTTATGTGCATTGGTGTGAATGTATCAGACCCCCTGGAACTGAAGTTACAGACAGTTATGAGCTGCCATGTGGGTACTGTGAATTGAACTCATCCTCTGGAAGAGCAATCAGTGCTCTTAACTACTGAGTCATCTCTCCAGCTCCCACAGTGAGAGTGATTGCTAATGCTAATGCAGCCAATGTACAGCTTAGTAGTAGAACAGACAGCATTAAATAAGTTCTGTGCGGGAGAGAGTGGTCTCACTACATAGTCCAGGCTATCTTTGAACACTTTAAAAAGATGTATTTATTTTTCTCTCCTACATTTGTGAATTTCTGCATATTGAACCCAGGTATCCATGGCTGAACAACAAGCCCTTTTACCTACTCATACATCTCTTGAGATAGGGTCTCCTGTACTCCAGACTGGCTCATACATCTCTTGAGATAGGGTCTCCTGTACTCCAGACTGGCTCATACATCTCTTGAGACAGGGTCTCCTGTACTCCAGACTGGCTCATACATCTCTTGAGATAGGGTCTCCTGTACTCCAGACTGGCTCATACATCTCTTGAGATAGGGTCTCCTGTACTCCAGACTGGCTCATACATCTCTTGAGATAGGGTCTCATGTGCTCCAGACTGGCTCATACATCTCTTGAGATAGGGTCTCATGTACTCCAGACTGGCTCATACATCTCTTGAGATAGGGTCTCATGTGCTCCAGACTGGCTCATACATCTCTTGAGATAGGGTCTCATGTACTCCAGACTGACCCTAAGCCCTCCTAGTCCTCTTACCTCTCCGTGTCCACCATCACACTTGGCTGCACGGAATACTTTACACCAAGAACCTTATTTCTATCTGGTCAAAATAATAAGGGAGAAACTTCACTTTTAAAAACTGCTCATAGGAAGGTTATATTAGATACTTGAATTATTCCTGAGATTAAACTACTGGAAGCAGCTTTTCTGTATCTTAAATTCTGATTTATTACATCTTACCATTTGTCACCAATATTTACTGCAGCGCTTTCCAAAGCAAATATTCAGTAAATATTTACTTATTGAGTAAGTGAATAAAAATAAAAATGCATTGTAGCCAAGAGCATGATGAGAACATTTATTTTAAAACATTTTTCTTTTGAGATAGGATCTTAATATGTTGCCCAGTCTGACTTCAAATTCTGCAATTTACATGAACCTCCTGTGCTAGCTTCCCTGGTCACTGCAGTCACCTGCAAGCATGATGATGCCTACCTTAGGCTATTGGTCTTCTTTCATTTGCCTCTGAGGATGTAATTCCCAGCCAGGGATGCGTATAGGGGGTTATAGACCACTCGCCTTACACAGGAGAATAACACAGCAGGGTGGATGAGGATCATTGCTTTTACAGCTGGGTAAAAATCTGTGCTGCTGGTGCAAACATGGAGGAGAACAGACAGACGGACAGATCCACAGCTTTCACTCTTGCTGGAAAACAAAATTCAAACCAGTGTCCTGGCAATGTGGAATTCATGACATTTACTTTTAATAAGGATTTAGCCAAATGTACAAATACAGTTTCTTAAAAGTGCCAGACATAGTCATGGCTAATGCTTGTAATCTCAGTACTTGGTTGGATGAGGTAGGAGAGTTACTAAGAACTTGAGGCCATTGTGAGTTCCAGTCTTGCCTGGACTAGAGTGAGAACTTGTCTCAAAACAAAACACAACAAACAAGGTACACTTGCTGGTAGAGTGTTTGCCTTGTATTCATGAAGCCCAGGGTCTGATCCCAGAACCACATAAATGGGGCACAGTAGCCTGTTCCTAAGATCCTAGTACTTTGGAGGTGGAAACAGAGGATCAGAAATTCAAGGTCATGCCTACATAGCGAATTTAAGATAGGCTAGCAACCCTATTTAAAAAGACAAAAGAGCATGGAGTTTCTTCTCACTGGTAGGATACTCACTTTAGCATCTAAGACTCCCTAGCTCAATCTACAACACCAACAAAATCATTTTCTAGACAGGGCATGATGACACACTACAATCTTGGGCTACATAGCAGGGACCCCATCTTAAAACAAAACGGTTTTAGCCAGGCAGAGGTGGTGAACCCCTTTAATTCCAGCACTTGGGAGGCAGAGGCAGGCGGGTCTCTGTGAGTTCGAGGTCATCCTGGTCTACAGAGCTAGTTCCAGACAGGCTCCAAAATAATACAGAGAAACCCTGTCTGGAAAAATCAAACAAAACAAATCACCAAAAACCAGTTTTACGTTGGATTGATCAATTATCTCATTAGTCCAAATATGTTCATGTGGGAAGCAGAATAGTGGCTCCTAAAGGCGTCATGTCTTGATCCCCGGACCTGTGAATAGGCTTGTATAGCAAAAGAGATTCTGTGTGGGAGATGATATATTATCCAGATGGGTCTAACAGAACCAGAGGGTCCTAATAGGAGCAAGCCATATGGATGAGGTCAGAGAGAGACTGGAAAGTCTCACGCTGCTTGCTGTGAAAATGAAGACAGGAATGCCCATGGAGAAAGGTTGTAGATTACCCCTGCTGCCTCTGGGAACAGCCTGACCTTGCTAACTAATATCTTTTGTTGTTTGTTTTGAGATAGAGTGTAACTATGTATTCCTGGGTGGCCAGGAACTGGCTGTTTTAAGGACCAGGGTAGCCTACTTCTAAGTGCCAGGATTAACTACATTGGTGAGTAGAGCATGTGTGCAGGTTAGAGGTCACCATACCTGACCTTTTATCTCTTACTAACATCTTAATTTTAACCAAACAAATACTATTTGTATTTTTGTTTCCAGAACAACAAGATAATAAATCTGTGTTGGATTCGGGGCATGTTGGCACATACCTTTAATCCCAGTACTTGGGAGGCAGAAGCAGGTGAATCTCTGTGACATCAAGGCCAGTGTAGTTACAAATCAAGTTCAAGGACAGCCAAAGCCTGTCTTGAAAACAAAATAAACTTCTAGCGGAGACAACTATTTTTCCTCCTCCCCTTCTTTCTCCACCCTTGCCTGTCTTTGAAATAGGGTCTCACATTTGGTCTCACATTGTAGTCACTCAAATTTGCAGCAATCCTTAACTTCAGGCTTTATTCGAAGCAGTGGGATTACAGCGATGTCCCACATGCCCAACTTTATGGAACATTTCAAATTTGAGTCTAGAAGTAGAGAAAGCGTGAGAAGGACTGTGTGCGGGGAAAATCTGCTGTCTTTGTGAGGCCATGTGACATCGGCATGGAAGTGTCTTCCAGGAGCTGAGAGACAGTCTCAACTGCCAGCCTACAAGACATTGTTCAGCATATGATCTCAAGGAATCACCAGCAATCTGACTCAGATAAGAAGGCAGTCACACCCACACATGGACTTTGGCTTTGTGATTCCCAGGTCAAAGCAGGACGCTAGCCACACTCTTTTGACCCCCAGAAACAGATAACAAATGGATATTGCTTTCAAATGTTAAATCGGTGGTGATTTGTTATAGCAGCAATAATAAATGATAAAATTATTAATAACACATTGACATCATGTACAGGCATTATAGCTGAGATTCTTGCAAAAAAAATATACCACTCCCATCTCATCCTGAAAACAAACAAACAAGAAACACTGGAAAAATCCCAAAGTAAGAGACATTCTACCAAATTAAGAGCAGTACTCTTCCAGAGTGATGAGGTCAGGATAGACAGGAAGGAGTGAGTAACTGGAACATAGAAAGGGTATGAACCTGAAACTGGTGAATTGCAGTGCAGAGTGCTAACCAAGTTACAAAAACACATCACAGTTATTTCTTCCTAGAACCAGAGGGGCAATGTAACTAAGCAATTCTCCTGCTGGAATTTGTTTTCTTCCAGTTGTTTTATTGTTTTATATTTGTTTGTAAACTGGTGTGTGTGTGTGTGTGTGTGTACATTGTAGCACACAAGTAGAGATCAGAGGACAATTTTTCAGGAGTTGGTTGTTTCTGCCATGCGGGTGGGTTCTGGGGATTAAACTCAGGCTACGTGGCAGGTGCCTTTATCTGCTGAGCCATCTTCTTGTCCTTCCGATTGTTAAGATTGAAAAAGGGGGGTCTGGAGAGGTGGCTCAGTGGTTAAGAGCACTGGCTGCTCTTCCAGAGGATCTGGGTTCAATTCCCAGCACCCACATGGCAGCTCATAACTGTCTGTAATTCCAGTTTCAGGGGATCCAGCAACTTCACATATACATACATGCAGGAGAAACATGAATGCACATGAAATAAAAATAAATCATAAAAAAGAAAAAGTGTAGGGGTTGGAGAGATAGGCCAATGGTTAAAAGCACATACTGCACTTGTAGAGGGCTCAAGTTTGGTTCTTAACACCCACATAGAGCAGCTGACAACCACATGTAACTCCAGGTCCAGAAGATTCAGGTCCCAGAGGTTACCTGCACTTACATGCACATACCCATATATATAATTAAAAATAAAGTTAGTTTGGTTTGATTTTTTGTGACAGGATTTCTGTGCTGTCCTGACTGTCCTGGAACTTATTCTGTAGACCAGACTGGCCTCGAACTCTCAGAGATCCACCTGCCTTTGCCTCCCCAGTGCTGGTATTCAAGGTGAACTACTCTCAAGTGCTAAGATTCAAGGTGTGCACTACATTGTCCTATTGTTTTGTTTTTGAGATAAGGTCTCACTGTGTAGCTCTGGCTGTCCTGGAACTCTGTAGACCAGTATGGCCTTGAACTCATAAAGATTTGCCTGCCTCTGTCTCCTGAGTGCTACAATTAAAAAAGGTGTGTGCTAGCCGGGTGTTGGTGGCGCACGCCTTTAATCCCAGCACTCGGGAGGCAGAGGTAGGCGGATCTCTGTGAGTTCGAGACCAGCCTGGACTACCAAGTGAGTTCCAGGACAGCCTCCAAAGCCACAGAGAAACCCTGTCTCGAAAAACCAAAAAAAAAAAAAAAAAAGGTGTGTGCTGCCGGGCGGTGGTGGCACATGCCTTTAATCCCAGCACTCAGGAGGTAGAGGCAGGCGGATCTCTGTGAGTTCGAGGCCAGCCTGGTCTACAGAGTGAGTTCCAGGTCAGCCTCCAAAAGAAACCCTGTCTTGGAAAACAAAAAAACAAAAAACAAAACAAACCAAAAACAGGTGTGTGCCTCTAGGCCCAGTAAAAGAATTTCCTCCTCAAAACAAATGTTTGTAATGTGTTGTAAGAGTCTTAATTGACAGTTGGTGAGATGGCTCAGTGGGTAAAGTTACCTGGCGACCCCAGAACCTATGTGGTGAAAAGAACTGATTCCTTAGAGGTATCCTTTGACATCCACATCCATGCCATGGCACATGTAAACACACACACACACCTAAACGTAACAAAGTTTTGAAAAAAGATTCCTAGCTGAAACACTGTTATGTTGCTTAGTATGTATATGCTAACAGTTCTGTTTGCACTTACTATACCTTAATTTTTTTTCTTGTTTTGTTTCATTCCATGTGGCTCAGGCTGACTTCAAACTCCCTATGTTGCTGAAGATCACTCTGAACTCATTCTCTTGCCTCTGCTTGCCAAAGGCTGGGATTAAGGAGAGAGCTACTGTGCCCAGCAAGGTAGTTTGATTTTGGAAGAGATGGTGTGTTTCAGAAGACAGTACTTATTGTCTCAGCATTTGGGAGGCAGAAGCAGGAAGATCAGGAGTTCAAATTCATCCTTGGCTGTACAGTGAGTTTGAAGCCAACCTGGACTACAAGTGACCCTGCTTTGAGAAAAAAAAATATGCAAAAGACAGCTTAGTTCAACAGTGTTAACAGTTATGATGCAATAATATAGATTAAGAAGAGTAAATGTAAGCCGGTAATCCCAGCACTCGGGAGGCAGAGGCAGACGGATCTCTGTGAGTTAGAGGACAGCCTGGTCTACAGAGAGAGTTCCAGGACAGCCAGGACTACACAGAGAAACCCTGTCTCAGAAATCAAAAACAGCCGGGCGTTGGTGGCGCACGCCTTTAATCCCAGCACTTGGGAGGCAGAGGCAGGTGGATCTCTGCGAGTTCGAGGCCAGCCTGGTCTACAAAGTGAGTTCCAGGACAGCCTCCAAAGCCACAGAGAAACCCTGTCTCGAAAAAACAAAAACAAGAAATAAAAAACAACAAACAAACATAAAGAGTAAATGTTAACGAGTATACTCCCAAAGTGAAAATTAGGGCAATTAATACATCTGTAAAGGATTTTAGAAAGGATTTACTTGTTTATTTATTACGTGTAAGGGTATTTTTCCTACATGTATTCATGTGTGCCACTTATGTGAAATGCCCTGACAGGCCAGGAGAGGGCCTCAGTGCCTCTGGAACTGGAGTGACTCTGAGCCACCATATTGTGCTGGTGACTGAACCCGGATCATCTTAACCACTCACTAAGCCATCTCTCCAGCCCCTGATGGCTGCTTTGTCTTTTAATGTCCTTGTTTACAAAGCTTATTAAACACCCACATAGTTTTCTAGATGACACATGCATGTGCCTTTTGTCCTAATATTTGGCTATTATCCCTGGTCTCTGGTCCCTCAGAATTCTGAAAGCTCTTGGAATTCCTGGGTCAAAGGGATCTTTTTAATGAGTGACTCTTGACCTGCCCCAAACACCTTAGTAGTGAGTGGTGGCCAGAAAGACCAAACCTTGATAATAGGCCTGGAACCTTCATTGCCTACCCCATGACCCTGGCAAAGGAAAAGGGACAAGAGATGGAATTAATAACTAAGTGTGTCTACGTGACTGATCTTCCATCACTACTCCACATGTCAGGGTATGGAAGCTTCCAGAATGGAGAACACACCAGAGCTCAGAAGGTAGTTTGTCCAGAGAGGTCTCAGAACCCTGCGACTCTCCAACCCCTCCAAAGTGCACTTCCGTTTGGCTGTCCTGGATTAGAGTGTTTATAATAAGCCAGGACTGTTCCTATTTGTATAAGCAGTTCTAGAAAATCATTAAACTAGAACTTGTGGCCACGTGGGACAGAAGCGTAGGTCTCCTGGAACCTGACGCTTGCGGTCAGTGCCTGGAGTGAGGGTTGTCTTGTGGAACTGAGTCACTAAACCTGTGGGATCTGATGACAACTTTTGGTAATTGGTGTCACAGTTTTGAGTGAGCTGTTATATTCAGAGAGCTGGGAGAATTGGTTGGTTGAGAGACCCCACACATGTCCAGAATGTGTTTATATGTTGTTATTCATGTTTTTTTCTCTCTCTCCACTCCTGACCCCCCACTCCCTACCCTAACCACAAACTCTGAGGCTCTAGTGATCCATTGCCTCAATTGCCTCAGTCTCTACAGTACTTGGGACTATAGATAGATACACACACGTCACTGTGATTAGCAGTGTCAGAAGTACTGTTTGGGGAAAGAGCTCAAACAGAACTATAAATACACAAAACCCTTTCTCAGAGAGAGAGAGAGAGAGAGAGAGAGAGAGAGAGAGAGAGAGAGAGAGAGAGAGAGAGAGAGAGACAAAAAAAAAACAAGCTGGGCTGGGCAGTGGTGGTGCACACTTTTGATCCTAGCACTCGGGAGGCAGAGACAGGCAGATCTTTGTGAGTTCGAGGCCAACCTGGTCTACAGAGTGAGTTCCAGGACAGCCTCCAAAGTTACAGAAAGAAACCATGTCTCAGAAAACCAAAAAAAACAGGCTGCACTAGGACTGGAGAGATGGCTCAGAGGTTGGGAGCACTGACTGCTCTTCCAGAGGACACAGATTCAATTCCCAGCACCCACATGGCAGTGCACAGCAGTCTGTAACTCTAGTTCCAGGAGATCCGATACCATCATTCAGACATACCTGCATGTAAAACACCAATGTGCATACAATAAAAATAAATAAATTAGGGGCTGGAGAGATGGCTCAATGGTTAAGAGCACTGACTGCTCTTCCAGAGGTCCTGAGTTCAGTTCCCAGCAACCACACGGTGGTTCACAACCATGTGGAATGAATGAGATCTGGGGCTCTCTTCTGTCCTGCAGGCATACAGAACACTGGATACATAATAAAATTAATCTTTAAAAAATCCAATAAACAAGCCGGGCGTTGGTGGCGCACGCCTTTAATCCCAGCACTTGGGAGGCAGAGGCAGGCGGATCTCTGTGAGTTCGAGACCAGCCTGGACTACCGAGCGAGTTCCAGGACAGCCTCCAAAGCCACAGAGAAACCCTGTCTCGAAAAAAAAAAAATCCAATAAACAAATAAATAAACCAAAACAAAACAGGCTGGGCAGTGGTAGTGCATGCTTTTGAAGCCAGTACTTGGGAGGCAGAGGTAGGTGGATCTCTGTGATTTTGAGGCCAGCCTGGACTATAGAATGAGTAACAGGACAGCCAGGGCTGTTACACAGAGAAACCCTGTCTCAAAAAACCAAAAGCCAAATCAAAACACACACACACACCAAGCAAACGAACAAAAAACAGAAAAAAGAATCTTTCACTTTTTCTTGTTGCCATTGTGGGGGATCCAGGTTCCTCTCCCAGCACCCACGTGTCAGCTTAGAACTGCTAATAACTCCCGCCTTCGGATCCAGCACCCTTTACTGGCCTCCAGGGGCACCAGCACTTACATACATGCAGGTAAAACACATGCATATATCTTTAAAGGATGTTACATTTTTCTCATCTTTGCTAAGATAGTTCTAGAAGCAAGATGGAATAATTGCATACTATTCTGGCAGAAAAGAAAGATTCCATATTGGAATATACATGAACTCCCTGTATTTATGTATACATACATATGCATTTTATCTGAAGAAAACAGACTCCTTCAAGAAAGAAAAAAAGAGAGAGAAATGGCCCAACAGAATAGTCGCACAGTGTTTATTAGAATGCTATCTTACGAGCCGGGCATTGGTAGCGCACGCCTTTAATCCCAGCACTCGGGAGACAGAGGCAGGCAGATCTCTGTGAGTTTGAGGCCAGCCTGGTCTACAGAGCGAGTTCCAGGACAGCTTCCAAAACAATACAGAGAAACCCTGTCTCGAAAAAAACCAAAAAAAAAAAAAAAAAAAAAAAAAAAAGAATGCTATCTTACATTTCACGGCAATTCTACTTCCTTAGCTTCCACCGCCCCCACATGGTCTGGGCCATAGGCTGGCCTCAGACTTTATGTACAACTGAGGATATCCTTGAACTTCTGATCTTCTGTGCCTTTAGCTGCTGGGATTGTAGGTGTATACTGCTCCATCCTGTTTATTCAATGCTGGGGACTGAACTCAGGGCTTTTTTCGTGCTAGGCACACACCACCAACAGAACTACATCCTCAGCCCTGCTTGCTTATTTTGACATGGAGTTGCACTATGTTGGTGGAGCTGGTCTTGAACTCCTGAACTCACAGGATCAGCCTGCCCTCAGCCTCTTTGGTCTGGGATATGTGTGTGCGCTGCCATGCTTGGCTCTGTACTGTTTTCTTGGTTTATCTCAGAGGTAGACACACACTTATCTATGACAATTTATCTCACCATTAGCAACTACTGTTATATAAAATGTTCAGGTTCATTGGGTGCTGGGAATTGAACCCAGGTCTTCTGGAGGAGAAGTCTTAATTGCTGGGCCATCTTTCCATCCCTGCTCTAAAATTTTAGGCAACACTTGGGCATAGTAGCACATATCTATGATTCCAGTATTAGCCAAATTAAATTGGGAGAACTATTGTGATTTTTGAGTCCTGCCTAAGCTACACAGTGAGTATGAAGCCAGCCAGAGCCTCTAGAGAGATGATCTT